AGAGAGAGAGGGGAAGATGGGGGGAGAGATGAGGAAGAGAGTGGGGAGTGAGAGAGAGGAATATGGGGGAGAGATGAGGAAGAGCAGAGAGCAGTGAGTGAGAGAGGGGAAGATGGGGGAGAGATGAGAAAGAGCAGAGAGCAGTGAGTGAGAGAGGGGAAGGGGTTGGGAGAGAGAATGGCCTGACATCCCGAGGACGGAGAGGAAGGAGAGGGAGAATGCTGGCCTGGAAAGCTTTTCCATGATGTTGCCAATGTGGGAGCAGTGGCGGTCTTTGAAAACCCAGTCCAGATGCCTCTGTGGTTTTCTGTACAGAGAACATTTGAGGCCCCCATGCTGGCCTAGACCGGAGGGAGCCCTTCCGTCCTGGGGCCACCTCAGCACTTTGTATTTTCCTTCCCTCGACTCTTCTGAGCTCTGTGATGACTGGTGCGTGTTTGTCTCTGTACCTTGCCTCCAAAGATGAGGACACAATTTCTCATTGGTCTTGTGGTGTTTTGGCTCTAGCAGGTGTGAATGAATGGCCAGTACCCAGAAAATGGAGACTGGGCCAGACTCAGAGACTTCCCTGAGGCTCCCACCTACCCAAAGCAGGGTTCTCCGCTTTCATGGCGTGAGGGAGCTGGTTTTTGTTACACTGTACCTTTGAGATAAGCCACCTGGAATCTTTACTAAGCCCCTTCCAGACGTGAGGCAGAGTGCTCAGGGTGGAGTTCTGGGGTTGATAATAAAAAAAATCACCTGCTTCTCTGACAGTTGCCTGGCTTTGTTGGGGAAAGCTTGTGAGACCTCAGTGGGGCAGTGTTGTGGGACAGTGGAGGGGCTGCAGGGGGACTCCGCAGTCAATCAGGAAAACTGCCCTGAGAAGGGAAGCACAAGAGGGCCCTTCAGTGGGCAGCTGTGACAGTGGGCCCTGGGTGGGTGAGCTCATCTGGCCAAGGTGGGTTTGGGCTGACAGAGGAGAAATGGGGCTTCTAGAGGGACTGGATCTGGGGTGGCCAGAGCAGCTGTCCCCACATAGGCCCAGGGTGGTGGTGGTGATAAGACCCAGGGGATTCCCCTCCATCTCAGTGACCTGTGTTGGTTTCATTTGTGCAGAAACACATCATCCATGGTTTTCTCCCTGCGGCCAGCATTGCTCCGAAGCCAGCTGTGCCCCGCACACCTCCACCCCGCAGCCCCAACCCATCTCCAGAGAGGCCACGGTGAGTCTCAGATGAGCAGGCGCTGAGGCCACCCCTGTGCTCAGCCTCCAAGCACTATTTGTCAAACTGTAGAAACTGGCCAGAAAGTCGCCAGTAGGACCCCAGTCACGACCTTTGAAATATTTACCATGGTTCCATAAGGAGGCACTGAATGTGGTTTCTCTGACGGATAATGCATTCGCTTGGGTTCTGTCCCTTTCAAGGCATATGAAGGGCTTGTATTTTGTGACTGAATTCAGTTAGCATTTTCAAAATATAAAGCATTAAAGCCCAGGTGTCTAGGCTAATAGTGCTTTACAGGGAATTTTGAGCTGTGCACATTACATTTCTTATTAACCGTAATTCTGCCTGTTGATTACCTGCTTTATGGAAAGAAAGGGGAAGTATGACCACTGTCAGGGCCTGGGATTCCCCTCCTGTCTTGTATTTCCAGGTATACTTGAAAGTACTGCCTGTGCCTTCGAAGGTTTTAGTACAGAAGAATTTTAGCTTCTTTTTAATCCATAAAATACACTGACTTGACGTGACAGTGAATGCAGCTTATCTCTTTCAGGGTGGGGCCTCCTTTGAGTGTCCTCTGCTGGTAGGGTGGTATGTGGCTCCTGATAAAAACACCCTCTAATATTTTAGTGTTTGTTTTTCCTTTCAGGATAATCTTGATAACAAGGATAGGCACTTATTGTCCAGGTACAGTGGCTCACACCTGTAATGCTAGCACGGGTGACTGCAGGAAGCCAGGAGTTCAAGACCAGCCTAGGCAACGAAGGGAGACCCCATCTCTTAAAAATAAATAGCCATTTATTCATGTTTCCTTTGTGCCAGGTTCTCTGGTAAATGCTTAAGACGCATTGTTTGATTTTTTCCTCCCAGGGACCCTGTAAGAGTACCCATCTCTGTTTTGGGTACTTGAGGCCCGAGTGTTAATACCTAGGCTGGCTGCTGAATGGTGACATCGCTGTGGTGAGATGTGGTTCTGTCTAGCTCTAAAGTGTTTGTGTGAGCCATGCCTGCGCTCTGTCACTGGGACTTAAATGTTTGTGCAGCCCCACTAGGGTCTAGACAGTTACCTTATATTCCATTACAAGTAGAAAAATAACCTAAAATGTGTTATTTCATGGCAGGCAAACTAGAATTCTTAGACAATCTCTACCTGTTGTCTCCTGTATTTAAAAAATACCTTTCTGGATTGTAATCTTTAATCAACTTTGGCAAATTTATTACATTTCTAGACTTTTTTTCTTACCTTTGAAGTATAATGTTCTGGCTGGGCATGGTGGTTCATGCCTGTAATCCCAGGTACTTGGGAGGCTGAGGCAAGGGGATCACTCGAACCCAAGAGCTTGAGGTTGCTGTGAGCTATGATGTCATGGCACTCTACTGAGGGCAAGGAAGTGAGACTCTTTCTCAAAAATAAAAATAAGGGCGGTGCCTGTGGCTCAAAGAGTAGGGCGCTGACCTCATATGCCAGAGATGGGGGGTTCAAACCCAGCCCTGGCCAAAAAAAAAAAAAAATAAAATAAAATAAAATAAAAAATAAAAATACCTTTCAATACCTTTTTATATCTCCTTTTTTCTCTATTTTGATCTTTCATTTTAATAAGAAAACTACTAGAGGCGAGGTAGCATGGCTCACACCTATAGTCCCAGCACGCTGGGAAGCCAGGGTGGGTGGATTGCTTTCAGGAGTTTGAGACCAGCCTGAGCAAGAGCAAGAATCTGTCTCTACCAAAAATAGAAAAAATTAACTGGGTATTATGACACACACCTCTAGTCCACACCTCTAGTCCCAGCTGAGCAGGAGGATTGCTTGAACCCAGGAGTTGGAGGTTGCTGTGAGCTAGACCAACACTGCTCCACTCTAGTCTGGGCCATAGCCTACTTAAATATAGGATTCTGGGTATGCCTGCTTAGACTAGAGATTTGGTTCCATCCCTTATAAACTAGGACATCTTTATGAGTTAGATAATTTCTATAAAAAGTGGGATGACACTAATCCTTGGTCATACAGTTGATGTGAGAATCAAATGAATATCCCTGAAGGAATGTGATGGACCATAGGTGTGGGGTCAGTAGACAGTCAGTGAACACTGGATTGGAGGTCAACCTTGATCATCAGTAGACACTCAGTGAACACTGGACTGGAGGTCAACCTTGATCATCAGTAGATACTCAGTGAACACTGTAGACTGGAGATCAACCATCAGTAGATACTCAGTGTACATTGGACTGGAGGTCAACCTTGATCATCAGTAGACACTCAGTGTACATTGGACTGGAGGTCAACCTTGATCATCAGTAGATACTCAGTGAACACTGGGGACTGGAGATCGACCTTGATCATCAGTAGATACTCAGTGAACACTGGACTGGGGTCACCCTTGATCATCAGTAGATACTCAGTGAACACTGTGGGCTGGAGGTCAGCCTTGACCATCACATGTATCTTGTTGTTCGGCCTTCAGCTTGAATGTTCATGGTTCATTGTCTGCATGGGATGTTTCTGTCCGTAGGTCTGCTCTGGCTGCAGTCATTTTATCCACAACCTTAACTGGGCGCACCGTAGCCATCCCTCAGCCTCGCCAGAGATCCCGGGCTGAGAGTAACACGACCTCCATTGAAAAGGACAGCTTCATCGATCCCTACGCCATCTCCTCGGAGCTGCAGCTTCGGTAGGGACCGCGTGGCTGGTTCTGCTTCCTCTCAGGGTAGGGGCAGCCCAGTCTGTACACATGTACGTACCTGCACAGGTCAAGGGGACACTGTCCAGAGTTTCTCCAGAGTGCATCTTGTCAAGCTACTGGTCACTTTGCTGGCAGCCCAGAGCCAGTGAATTCAGTGTTGCTTTCAGCCCTGAGTCGGCTGCTCTGCTGCAGACAATGTGAGCTGTCCCTCATCACTTCTCACCTGTCTCTCTGGACGTTAACACCAGTTTCACCTTCTTTGCCACCTGTGGTGTAACCTTTTCTTTCTTCTGTAACAGCTTTTCCTTTTTTCCTTGAGCTGGATTTGAGCTAAGGCAGGGATGGGGGTCAGGAAACATTTCAACATTTGAAAAGGTGGGAATCACAGAGCATAGTGGCTCATGACTGTAATGCTAGTGATTTGGGAGGCTGAAGTGAGAGGATCCCTTGAGGCTAGCCTGGGGAACCAGAGAGAGCCCATCTCTATAGAAAAAGAAAAATAGACAAATAAATGTTAGGAGTTAAGCAGATATATTATATCCTCCCAGGGTCAGGGTTTCCTGACCCCCATCCCTGCGTCAGCTCAAACCCTGTCTCGGGAAGAGACAGTTGAAGGGAGAGCTTGAGGAAAACCTTCAGTGTCAGTAAGAGCTACAAATTTAGACCTCGGGACTTAAATTGTTTTGGGAAGGTTTAGAAGATGGTTACCAGTGCAGTTGCAGGCTTGAGAAATGGTTCGTGTGGAGACTTAGGGCAGTGTGCTCACAGACGGCAAGTGTGCATACCCTTGAATGACCCTAAGTACAGACGAGGTCATGTGTGCATAGATGTTCGTTACAGGATCATGTTCAATAGTGAACTGGGAGGATATAATATATCTGCTTAACTCCTAACATTTATTTGTCTATTTTTCTTTTTCTATAGAGATGGGCTCTCTCTGGTTCCCCAGGCTAGCCTCAAGGGATCCTCTCACTTGAGCCTCCCAAAGCACTAGCATTACAGTCATGAGCCACTATGCCCTGTGATTCCCACCTTTTCAGATGTTGATTGTGAAAACTTATTAATGCTGAGCATGGGGACTCATGCCTGTCATCCAAGCACTTTGGAAGGCTGAGGCAGGAGGGTCACTTGAGACCAGGAGTCTGAGATCTGGGCAACACAGTGAGACTTTGTCTCTTTTTTTTTTTTTTTTTTTTTGAGACAGGAGCCTCAAGCTGTCCCCCTGGGTAGAGTGCCGTGGCATCACAGCTCACAGCAACCTCCAACTCCTGGGCTCAAGCGAGTCTCCTGCCTCTGCCTCCCAAGTAGCTGGGACCACAGGCACCTGCCACAACGCCCGGCTATTTTTTTGGTTGCAGCCGTCATTGTTGCTTGACGGGCCCGGGCTGGATTCAAACCCACCACCTTAGGTGTACGTGGCTGGTGCCTTAGCCGGTTGAGCTACAGGCGCCGAGCCGAGACTTTGCCTCTATAAAAAATAAAAAGAGGCCGAGCACGGTGACTCAGGCCTGTAATCTCATCACTCTGGGAGGCCAAGGCTGGTGGATCGTCTGAGCTCAGGACTTTGAGATCAGCCTGAGCAAGAAAGAGATCCTGTCTCTACTAAAAATAGAAAACCCAGCCGGGCATCATGTTGACTGCTTGTAGTCCCAGCTACTTGAGAGACTGAGGCAGGAGGATCACTTGAACCTGAGAGTTTGAGGTTGTTGTGAGCTATGATGCCAGGGCAGCAGAGTGAGACTCTGTCTTAAGAAGAAGAAAAAAAAATGTTAGCTAGACACAGTGGTGTGTACCTGTAATCCCAGCTGTTCAGGAGGCTGAGGCAAGAGGATTACTTGAGCCTAGGGGTTCAGGGTTGCAGTGAGTTATGATGATGCTTCTGTACTCTAACCCAGGGCAACAGAGCAAGACCTTGTCTCAAAAAAAATTTATTACTAAGACAAGTTGTATGTTTATCAGTAATAAGTAGTAAAAAAAATTAAAAGTGCTGAGTGTGCAAAGAGATGAGATAGGTGATTTAATCTTTTGGCTTCCATGTATTTTGTAGTACGTTGTATATTTATGGTGGGGGCTTGCAGGCAGTACACTTAATGCATGTGTAAATGTCAGTGCCGAGTGATAAAGGGCTTATTGTTTCACTCTTTCATCTTCTACCACAGACCAAATGGGCAAAGTGAGGAGAGAAGAACTTCCTTGCCATCCTTTGAAACGCGGGGCAGTGGGGAAGAAGAGGACAGTGAATCTCAGCCATCATCCTGCTGCAAGGAGGTGGAGGATGTCAGTGCCCAGAAGGAAGAGGGAGGTGGCAGTGAGGCCGTGTATGCTGTACCATACGCAAACAAGGTGCTTCTCCTGTTCCTGAGTGTCTGCTCTGTGCTCACCTTGACCTTAACCTTCAGTGAATTGTGTAGAGTTCATTCGTGAGGATTTCTTTCTCTGTTCTGCCTGTGACAGCTTTTGCTTTGGGGCTTAATTTTTTTTAATGTGTCCAGCCTATTTCTATCTGGTTAGACTAAATTTTCTTTCCTTTGTTCTGCAAAAAGACAAGATAAAGATAAATATCTTCCCACTCTTAACATAGTTTTCCATCCAAAGCTTAGTGCCTCTGCTCTCTTCTTTCCTTGAAAACTAATTTGTGTATCACTTCTCCAGTGTCACTTCACATAGTGCAATGGTTCTTCAAATTCATGTCTCGCAGGGAAGATCAGCAGTATCTTGTGGTGCAGCGGCTCACGCCTGTAATCCCAGCACCCTGGGAGGCCAAAGGGGTAGATTGCCTGAACTAGAGCCTGAGCAAGAGCGAGACCCTGTTGTAGCCCCTTGGGCCCCTGTGGCCCTGGTCTCGATCACTGCAGGAAGGAACCAGGCATGAGGCGGATTAGAAGTACAAGCTAGTGGGAGGCGGGCTAGCCCTTCTTAGCTGGGTAGCCCCGAGCAGCCTCTGCACTAGCCTTTTATTGAGCCTGTACAACACAGGTGAGGGGAGTAATTAACAAATGACTACGTGCTGAAGGCTCGGGCTCTTCTTCCACAGGGAACTCCTACAGACGAATGGTCCGAGGGTCCACCTCTCAGCTGCAGATCATCTTGCTCAGAGGTCATCTGACTCTTGGCGTCCCCTACAAGACCCCATGTCTAAAAACTAGCTGGGCCTTGTGGGGGGAACCTGTAGTTCCAACTACTTAGGAAGCTGAGGTAGATTCTCTCCTTTCAAGAGAATCACTTGAGCCCAAGAGTTTGAGGTTGCTGTGAGCTGTGACACCACGGCACTCTACCAAGGGCAACAAAGTGATACTCTGCCTCAAACCACCGCCCCCAAACCCACCTGCCATTCCTTCATTGCTTACCAGGCATGATACTCTATTCTATGTGGGTTATCTTAGCTGGCCCCCCACCAACTCTGTGAGGGGCCTGTTCATTGTCCCATAACACACCAGTGACCAAGGGACAGAAAGGTTCATAGAACTGCATTTCTTGACTGCCAGCTAATTCTGAGCTTTCTTTTTAAAGCTTTCAAAAATGCATTTTTTTTTGAGATCGAGTTTTACTATGTTGCCCTCGGTAGAGTGCCGTGGCATCACATAGCTCACAGCAACCTCCAACTCCTAGGCTTAGGCCATTCTCTTGCCTCCAGCCTCCCGAGGAGCTGGGACTACAGGTACCTGCCACAACGCCTGGCTATTTTTTTGTTGCAGTTCAGCCAGGGCCAGGTTTGAACCCACCACCCTTGGTATATGGGGCCCATGCCCTACCCACTGAGCCATAGGCGCTGCCCCCCCTTTTTTTTTTGAGACAGAGCCTTAAGCAGTAGCCCTGGGAAGTACAGTGTGGCATCACAGCTCACAGCAACCTCTAACTCCCGGGCTTAAGTGATTCTCTTGCCTCAGCCTCCCAAGTAGCTGGGACTACAAGCGCCCACCATAGTGCTCAACTATTTTTTGTAGTTGTCATTGTTATTTGGCAGGGCTAGGTTGGATTCAAACCCACCGGCTCTCGTGTATGTGGCTGGCACCCTAGCTGCTTGAGCCACAGGCATCGAGCTGCCTGGCTATTTTTTTGTTGTAGTTGTCCTTGTTTAGCAGGCCCTGGTCAGGTTTGAACCCACCAGCCCTGGTGCATGTGACTGGTACCCTAACCACTGAGCTACACGCGCTAAGCCACGTTTATTTTTTGATTATTACAACTCAATCTTCCATAAATTTTTATCCCATAATGTTGTATTTGGGGGGCTTTTTTGTTTGTTTTGAGACAGAGTCTTACTCTATTGCCGTGTGTAGAGTGTTGGGTTCAAGCAATCCTCCTGCCTCAGCCTGCCAAGTAGCTGGAACTACAGGTGCCCATTACATTGTCTGGCTAGTTTTTCTGTTTTTAGTAGAGACAATCTCTCGCTCTTGCTCAGGCTGGTCTCAAACTCCTGAGTTCAGGCAATCCACCTGCCTCGACCTCCCAGAGTGCTGGGGTTACAGGCGTGAGCCACAGCACCTGGCCCTGGATGATGTCTCTTAAATTAAGCTCAAGAGTATAACTGTAACCTGATAGCAATATATACAAGTGGTTTTCCATTCAAATTTGCAATAGCATTGTTTATTACAAAGAAAAATATAGAAGGGATTCAGTTTTCCTTTTAATCCACAATTTTAATTAAATTAATTAATTAATTTTTTTGAGACCAAGTCTCCCTCTGTCACCTTGGTTTTTTGGGTTTTTTTGAGACAGGGTCTCAAGCTGTCACCCTGGGTAGAGTGCTATGGCATCACAGCTCACAGCAACCTCAAATTCTTGGGCTCAAGTGATCCCCTTGCCTCAGCCTCCCAAGTAGCTGGGAATACAGGCGCCCACCACAAGGCCTAGCTATTTTTAGAGATGAGATCTCTCTCTGGCTCTGAGATCTCTCTCTGGCTCAGGCTGGTCTTGAACCTATGAGCTCAGGCATTCCACTTGCCTGGGCCTCTCAGAGTGCTAGGATTAGAGGCGTGAGCCACCATGCCTGGCCTCAAAGTTTTAATTTTAAAGGACCATTTACCAATATCATACTATAGATATTTCAAGAAAGAAGAAAAGGTAGCACTATCTACTAAAGATTATTATAGGCCAATCATAGTGGCTCACACCGTTGATCCTAGCACTTTGGGAGGCCAAAGTGGGAGGGTTGCTTCAGATCAAGAGTTTAAGACCAGCCTGAGCAACATAGCAAGACCCTATTTCTACAATGAACAGAAAAATTAGCTGCCTGTGGTGGTGTGTGCTCATAATCCCAGCTACTCAAGAGGCTAAGACAGGAGGAGTTTTATATTAATTAAATGTATGTGGGTAAAAGTGTGTTACTTTTCCATAAAAAATGTAACTTCTGACGATGGTCCCCCGAGTTTGAGGTTGCAGTGAACTGTGATCACACCACTACCCTTGTGCCCAGTCAACAAAGTAAGACACTGTCTCAAAAATAAAAATCTGTAAATAAGTAAAAAATGGAGATTATTTTAGATAAATTATCCATTTACTCAGGAGTTTGGTGATTGGGTACTTCAGAGTCCACTGAGTTTTTAAATACTTTTTGTTAGCAAATAAATTCACTTTGTGATAGATTTGTGTGTTGTACATAGAAATCCTAAAGCGTGACGACAGAACATGGTATTTATAACCCGCAGTCAAAACTGAAGAAATCCACTAGGTAGGAGCCAAGTGGAGCAAGTTTTGCCCCAGCAGTTCTTTTTGTTCTTAGAGAAACAGATAAACTATTGATACATTAAGGGGACATTTCAGCAGGTTACTAGTAAATGGCAAAAGTTTAGAAAAGGATGTTAATGGTTAATGAGATCTTACATCCAAAGAGCATAACCCTGTGAGGTGGGACACGAGTGCCTATAAGGCAGCTGGTCCTCAGAAAAGGTTCCACTCTCCAAAAGTCACAGGTCCGACACAGCCCAGGTCACTGGGGGTTCTGAGCACTGCGTTATTAACTTCTTTTTTTTTTTTTTTTTGAGACAGAGCCTTAAGCTGTCATCCTGGGTAGAGTGCTGTGGTATCACAGCTCACAGCAACCTCCAACTCCCGGGCTCAAGCGAGTCTCCGGCCTCAGCCTCCTGAGTAGCTGGGACCACAGGCGCCCGCCACAACACTGGGCTATTTTTTGGTTGCAGCTGTCATTGTTGTTTGGTGGGCCTGGGCTGGGCTTGAACCCGCCAGCTCAGGTGTATGTGGCTGGCGCCTTAGCCGCTTGAGCCACAGGCGCTGAGCCGGTGTTATAACTTCTGAAACGGCCATCTGACTTACTGCACAGTGAGCGGAGTCAGCCTTCCTCTTTTTGGTTGTGTTGCCTCTACTCTAGTTTTATAAAGTATAGGAATGCTATCGATTTGGCAGATGAAAAGGAAACCATTTAACTTGGTTTTGTTTAACTGCATTGCCTTCTCTGGGCTATTCTGTGAACTATTTAATTCTTAGAAACTGAAAGGCAAAGTAAAACCCGAGCAACTGGAAATACAGCATTTACTCCACAGCTGTGCGTCTGTGTCCAAAAATCAGCTGAGGGGCAAGGAAATAGATCAGGGCACAGGTGCACAGTAACCCCGTGTCCTGGGCAGGTTTTCTTTAATATGCAGGGTTTCAGCATATGTTATTAATAAACGTATTTAAAAGAATTAAGGGTCTTGGAAACGTTATGGTCAATTCTGAATGCTTCAGAAATTAATTAAATTGAGAATCATTTCACATAATTACTTGCAGCTACATTTTGGCCTCTTTAATTATTTAAAATGACTACAGTTAGGTTTAAAATACAGCAGTGCAAATTAAAAATTCAAAGGCATAACAAAGATCTCTTTAATTCTTATTTTATGAGAAGGATAAAACTAAGTACATAAAATTTTATTACAAATATTAGGGGAACTATAGCCATATCACAGATTACATTTTTTTATATAGAAAAGTAACATACTTTTACCTACATACATTTAATTAGTATAACTACATTATAAAGTGAATGACTTTTTGCTACTAACATCCTAAGATTATTTACTGCAAAATATACTTACAGCAAAAATTAAAGAGACTATGTTTCAGGAGAGTAGAAAAGATGACTCAACTAGGAAATCCCTCTTTCTCTCTCCCCCATTCTTGAATTTAATTGTGTTTTTCTCTTGCTCAGGCTTGTAGCTGTTCATCTACTAAGTTTTAAATTATTGTTGAGTCCATGGGGTGCTTCCTTTTCCATTCTTGAGGTACTTTACTAAGGAGAATGTTCTCCAACTCCATCAGGTTAATATAAAAGATGCAAAGTCTCCCTCTTTTTATGGCCGAGTAGTATTCTGTGGTGTACACAGGCCACAGTTTATTAATCCATTCCC